CTGTCACTGACAGGCTATATTACTTCCTTTCTCCCTAGGAATGTAAAGGATTGCATTTCCTTTGTTTTTGTTTTAGCAACCCATCTGTTCCTCTAGATTTTTCTCTGCTGGTGTTACTTCAGTGTCACTTTTCCTGTGGGTGGGCATCCTCCAAGGTGGTGTTTGAGATTCTTTCTCTTCCATTATCCAGCTTATTTTGGGGCATCCCTACTCTGGTGCATGAGTTTTGACAGCTTGTCTGCTGGCTGGATCAAATGCAAGTTGCAAAGGATTTTCTCCATATCAGGGTTTCCCCTTTTGTAAGTGCCCAAGCATCCGCTCAGCCTCACCATTTGTAAAACACAGAGACCCTACATTCTTCACTCCAAAACTTAAAAATGCATGTGTAAATATACGATGTATTACGTGCAAATTGTGTAGAAGATAATAAACACCCACCAATCCAACATTCAGCTAAAATACATATACATAAAGTATTACAGATATAGGTAAAGACCTCAGTGTATCCTTCTCAGTTATAGTCCCCTTGCTACCCTCTTTCTAGGAAGTAACAAGATCTCTGAATTTGGTGTTTTTAATACCCATGAAATATATATACATATATATATATATTGCTACCTATATCATTATATTTATGCTATATATTGTTTAGGAACATGTATGTATAAAGTTCTGTATGCATGCATGTTATGTACTCATATATATAACTAGATACATACTCTCTATAGATCCTGAAGTAATAAATAGCATTTTACATGTTTTTAAGCTCCATCATTCATTCATTATTCAGAGTTATAGCTTTTTTGAATTGCAATGTCTGGACACAGCAGACAAAACAAAGGGACACTAAACAGAACTCTATTTACCAGGGGCTAAGAGGTTTCCTAGTAGAGTGGTTATCTTAAGGGACAAAGGAGTCAGTACAACTGCTTGACCCAATATAGATAGTCTTGATCATCTTGAGAGAGGAGCAATTATGGCTGAAGCAAGGGTGTGCCATTGGTTTTATTTCCTGAACTCATGGCAGAATTCTGGGAAGAACAAAAAGGATTATAAGGAAGAACGAGCTATACAGCTTCTACTTACTGATTCTACCACCACGACAGCGACCATTACCAGATATGTCCCACATGCCCATTATGAGACAGGCACTGTGACAAGTGTGTTTCAAAGCATTATCTTTAATTCCCCAAACAATCCTGGTTTACAGATGAAGAAACTAAGGCTACAAAGACCTTAACCACACCTTTCTTCCGAATACAGACCTCCCCCGCAAACCCCGCCCGTTCCAAGTGTTAATGAGCATCTTCATTTGGAGAATCCACAGATATGTTAAACCCAACATTTATTTCTCCGAGTTAACAGCTGGGGGACTAAACATCTTACACACAGGTCTGATCAATCACTGCCCTGCTCCAAAGACTTCAATAGCTTCCCACTGCCTAAAGAATTAAGGGCAAATTCCTCACCCTGGCATTCAGCAGCAGGCCACCAACCTGTGTTTTTATCTCCTACTCCTGTCCTCAACCCCAGCCAGACTAAACTAGTTTCTGTTCTCCAAATATGCCACACACATTTCCATCTCAGCAACCTTGCTTTTGCTGTCCCCCACCCGAATGTTATCCACTTTTCCTCTACATATCTACCCATTGAAATTCTATGCCTTCTTCAAGGTTAATTCTAAATGTCCAGCTCCTTCCTGACACCTGTTCTTCATTTCCCCATCACGACATTATTTTTCTTCCTTTAATTCTAATTGCATTTTGTTTGTACATCTCTTATCTTGGCTTCTGCTGTGCTTCTTTGTGTGCTTGACTCCTCTTTCCCCATGACATGTAAACTCCAAGAAAGCAAAAGCTGTGTCCTCCTCACCTTTGTTTCCCTAGCACACAGAAGGAATCAGCTTGTAAATCACTGATTGAGTTAGTACTTTCTCACTTACAAAGACTAGTACTCAAATAATTCATTTTGAAATATGGAGTCCAACATGTGCAAGGACTGGAGTTGCCTCTTACACAAGATCATGGCCATTCTCCAGTCCTATCCCAGATCCTTGACTCTAAGTAGGCTGGGAAATACAATCACTTTAGTTTGGGGTTAGGGAGTGGAACTTAGCTACTGAGAGCCAGAAAAGACCTTAGCTGATCAAGAAGCTGGGAAAGCTGGAAGCCTTCCATAGGCCTGGCCTGAAACTGGGAGGAGATCCTCAGTTGGTAGAGAGATTTTTGCTTTCTCTATAAAAGCATCATAGAGTTTCTCATAGTTTTGTGTGAAAGATGGTTAGGATAAGGACACAGGTGAGTGAGTGTGTGTGTATGTCCACAGAGGTCACTAAAGCCCTATTTGGGCATGGCGAGGGCTGCCTTGCTCCTGACCCTTGGCCCACTGCTACAGCAGATACAAGAGGCTGCCCTGGGCCCTGGTCCTCTCCTGTGCAGTCCTACCAACTGTTTGGCACTGGAGACCACTGAGGCACATCATAACATCACATCATCGCATCACATCACATCACATCACATCACATCACATCTTTGGCCTATTCATTTGTCATGAATTTTTTTTCCTTAAAGAAGAAGAAAAAGAGGCTTGTGTTGTTATTTCCTTCTTTGCTCTGGCCTACTACTCCTACTTAATCTTTCCTCAAATTAATATACAATATGTCATCACCTCTTTTTAAAAATAAAGCTCCAGCTCTACAGCCTCAATGACATTAAAAAACTGTATTAAACTCTATTAAACAAACTTGTCTAATCTGAAATTTATCTTTGCTTCCCTTTTCTTTCCATCCTCTGGCACTCCTTTCTTCCCACAAGAGAAAACCGACTTAGCTTTTGGACTTTTTATTAAAGGCTCCCCACTCATTTGGTCACCCAGTTTAGACCCTCCTCGACAGGGAGGACTGTGTACAATTTCACCACTCAGTGAATCTGAGGAAGGAAATATTTTAAGGTAGTGACTTTGCTTCTAGATTTAGAATCCAACTTCTTACCCAAAGTTGGAATCTTCTAAACATACACATCAGGTAGTTTTGCTTAAATATATGGCAGCTATTTTAATGGTGTCGAAAGTAAAAGGTCTGGGGCTCTCCACAGAGGAATGGAGATTTAGGTCTATCAGTACAAAATTGCCAAGCTAAAGGGAGATGAGACTGTTCAGCTCACTTATTTACTTTTATTTTCTAGGCTTAAATTTAAGCTTAATACTTTTTATACTTCTACTCTCCAGATGTTTAACCATTTTTATGTAAATGACAAATCAATTTCCGAATTTTGTTTAGTACTTTCTGTACTTTGGGTAATGAGGGTCTTACAATAGGGTAGACTATTTGGTTCTCCTTCGCGTTACTTCTCATATAACAAACACATCAGCACAAATATTTTTATTAAGCATTGTTATACGGCAAACACTGCACAAAAGACTGGATGACCAGTCCTTGTCCTTAAGTTTAAAATCTAGACGGAATCACCAAGAGACCCCAGTAAGAGTAAATGGCAAGCCCCCAATCCACAAACCACAGATAAATTTGTACTCTTTCTGTTGAAGTAGCTGAATGCCTTTGGCTGAAGAAGGGATGAAAATTAATGGCACACTAAATTGAAATGAGAAACCTCTTCTTGGAGGGTGTAGATTTGGAGAAATCTTTGAAGTAGTAGGTGCTAGAATTGCCCAAACCTGGCGCGAGAACAGTTCTCGGGAATTGCGGTGCCTGAGCCACTCGAGAATTACAAATTTACTCTGCAACTACCAATTAGCTGGATTAGGGGCAGTGAGGCTCCAAGGCCCGTCCGAGTCCAGTACCTCGCTGCTATTGGATGAGCTACTTCCTCGCCTTCCCCAAGGCTCCTTCGTTCGTCAATCACTCTGCTGCTGCCTGCTGGTTCCCCACCCTGCATTTGCTCTGCCCCTTTTCAGTGACGTAACACCTGGCGCTCTTTCCCGCCCCAGGCCTCAAGCGCTCCACCAGTCGCTTCAGTTCCTCATTGGCCAGCAGAGAGGAGAGGGAAGGGCATTCTATTTTGCTCTCCCCTCCAGTTTTCTGGTCTTCTCATAGGCGGTCAGCAGAGCAATTATTGCCTAAAGCTGTCGCGCAGGCGTGACAAGGTGCTCACTGGTGGAGGGGCACTTACACTCCCAAGAAAACCCATTGCGCTATTGTGACGCAAGCGGCACCGCTGGCCATCTTCACTTACCATTGGCTGTGACCGAAGTCCGTCCCCAACCACGCCCCATCCCTCGGCCTAACCTCCCAGTTTGAGACACCTTCCAGGAGGCCACGCCCCACCGCGTTCCTGCCGCTTAGCACTGCGATTGGCTGAGAGAACTGGCATTCCTGCACCTCTACTCCCTCCCGAGCATCCGAGAGGCTGGCGGGACCCCGCGGAAATTGTCAATCTCCTCCTTCCCCACCCCCACACGAGGCCCCTCCTCCGGGCCGCACGCCCAGGCGCGCGCGCACGCACACACACTCCCCTTCTCTTGCGCGTCCCCACCACCTTCTCAAGTTGTAGCGGACGCTCGCTGGGGGGTTCTCCGTGGGCGGCGGAAGGGCGCGTGGGGGAGGGGGCTCTCAGACGGCTCCGCGCTGCGAGAAGCGCGTGTGTGTGCGCGCCCAGAGCCCCGGCGGCGGGTCACTGCCCTGGGAGATGAGGGGCTGGCGCTGACAGGGAAGAGTGGGCACCGTGGCGGTGGCAGCGGCTCGGAAGGGACCCGCGATGGCAGCGCCTCGGGAGGAGGCTCCATGCAGGGCGGGCTGCGCTGGTAGCGGCCACTGAGGTGCTGGCCGGCCGGCCGGCTGGCAACCTGGACTGAAGAGACGAGAGGCGCGCTCGGCGTCCGCGCCTCAGTTGTCCAAACTTCAGCCTCCCTTCCACCCGCCCTCGGCACCCGGAGTCAACAACTTCTTCACCCCCCGCTGCCCCCGCCCTTGCCTCCGGGAGCCCGCCACGCAGCGGGGACCAGGAACCTCCGGTACTGAGATGCGGCCGTGAGGCGTTGGCGGGCGGCGAGGAGAAGCTCGGCGGCGTCCGGGAGCAGAAGGGCGGTGTGGCCGGGGGGACGGGGCGGAGGGGCGCGAGCGCTCCGCGCCTCTCCCCCGCCTCCTCCTCCTGCCGCTGCCCGTTTCGTGCAAGCAGCAGCCGGAGCTGCCAAGCGCCAGGGCTGCGGAGATGTCGTCGTCGTCGCCGCCGGCGGGGACTGCCAGCGCCGCCATCTCGGCCTCGGAGAAAGTGGACGGCTTCACCCGGAAATCGGTGCGCAAGGCGCAGAGGCAGAAGCGCTCCCAGGGCTCGTCGCAGTTCCGCAGCCAGGGCAGCCAGGCGGAGCTGCACCCTTTGCCCCAGCTCAAAGGTAACCTCCGAGGGCGCAGCCGAGGCAGGAAGCGCAGGGGCTCGCCCCGCGCCCACAGAGCCATTTCCTTGTGGGGTTCCTTCTGCCCAGCTGGGGCTGGTAGTGCGAGTCGCGTTCCCCACGATGCCTTGCCACCCCATCCCCCTTCGATTCCAACAGGTTTGATGTTAAGAGCCTTGGTGCTTTTCTTCTCCCTGATTCCCCTTCACTCTTCCCATCTGAGTGGAGGCCAACAAGTCTCCCCACCTGCGCGCTCGCTCACCTGCCCTCCTGATTGGAACTCGCGTGCGTCCCGCGAGGTAGAGTGCTTCCTCCTTCTCCCAGGCTTGTCTTGCCCATCTTGCTTTATTTAGCAACCTGTGTTCCCTTTCGACCTTCACTGCCCAGAGTCGCACCTCCGTCCTTTCGGACACTCTTAACTAGTCCTTTACTTTTTCGACTGTAAGCGTCTGCACTCCGTCTCCTCCTCCCTCCCATTGATTGTTCCGAAGAGTCATACAGACCAGGAATCCTAACGCAAACAACGGTTAAGAGTTAACCTGGCCTTTAGATTTACTTATAAAGAAAAAGCCGAAAAATTTGATCAGTGTAGTGTCATATCAACTGGGTCGTTAGGTTTAAATGTTATCCTTTGGCTCAGAGATTGGTAAGACTTAAAATACTTTATTGTCCGAGAAGGTATACAAGGTAAATTTGGCGACGTATAAAAAAGTAGGTAGTGTTTTTGCAATGGAATGGGAACCTAGTTTGCCAAGCAGTGATTCCAGGGACTTTGTAGGTTTGTACAGTAATTCAAATTGGTATCCGTGCCTAATGCCTGGCAAGGAGAAGAACTTGGCACTCCTTTTGGCTCACTTACTTTTCCCACTAAGGTTAGAGGATTTAAAAAAATTGTTTCCTGGTGTTCTAGTTTATTCTTTGTGAATTACTACTTTTATTTTAATGTCTTCATTTTTTATGAGATCAGAATCATGGAACAAGATGATTAATGCTCCTAGACATTTAAAACAATTTTTTTGACGAAAAAAATCTAATGGAAGTGTAGATAATCAGTTTTGCAAGGCCAGGAAATTAAAGGTTTATACTAAAATAGATACATGTTCAGCAGATTTTTCAATCCATTTCATCCTTTTCAAGGCCAATCTCATTCTGATTTGCCTTTGGGCCTATGAATTGAGCCTTAGTTTGGCTAGGAGTTTAAAGAACACGCCAGATCAAATCACAGTTGACCTACAATAGCTCTGGAACCCCATTGAGACCCTACATGGCCCTGCCTCTTGGGGTGCTTCCAAATCAAGAACATCCCAGGTCAGAATCAAACTGGCTTTTTAAAGAAGGTATTAGTTAAGCTGTGTGTAGCCAGTGTTACTGCATTTATCATTTGCTTTTTAGCATACAAAAATTGTTAACATTTACATATTGTAGTCAATGGTAAACCTCAAAGGTAGTCATTGCCAAGACTTTAATTCTTGAGTGATGTCATAGCCATAAAAGAATATCATCTTACCTATTAGAACATTGACTTGCTATTCATGGATTTTAAAATTTTAATCTTAATTACAACATCATAGTTATTTTTCTATTATTGATTTTTTTTCATTAAATTGTTGAATTTTACAGTTTGAAGGTTCGATACTAGTGTTTTTCATATTTATTTAATTTGCTTTTTAGTGAAGTATGGTGATTCCTTAGTATTGTCGTTAATATAATATTTACTTTTATTTAATACAAATAATTGAATATAAAACATGGTTGATTCAAGCCAAGAGATGCAGCTTTAATACATTTGTTTTTAAAAGCCTGGCAAAAATATGAAGAGTCAGTATCATTTAACTTATATGGTATATAGTTCAACAAGTTGAAGGTGCCATTGAAGGTTTTATTTATAGTATTTTGGTCACTCGTTTGTCTTATAGTATTTTGGTCACTAGTACAGAAAAAAAAGTGAAACTGTAGATTCTACATATTTTGTGTGAAAATATAATTTTCTTTATAGGGAAAGTTATGTATTCAAGGTAAATTTATGCAAACTTAATTGAGGAAAATGAGACCCTTACATGGATTACCCACTAATAGGAAAAACTACTTTTACTCCAAATGCCAAAATGCTTGAAAAGTGATTTTTTAAAAAAACGCAGTTGCTTCGCTTGGTACTTTGGCAGTGTACTTGATACCACAATGTTGTGTGCTTTTTCTGTCAGTAGTAGTTTTTTCCATTTGTGGCCTTAACAAAAAACAGTGGAAAGTCCTTTAGTATGTGTATGAAAGAGAATTTTTCTTCCTGCTCTGAAATACAATCCCACTGTGGAGTGATTCATATATCTGTGGGCATCCAAGATCTTTCAAGTGTTTATACGAACCTGCTTATGTTACACTTTGTCCACATGGATCTAAATTGGAAAGGTGCCCACTGTTTTCCTCAAAGCATACTGTGGGTAAGGATTAACAGAATAATCCAACTTTTTCATCTATAAATTTATTTTGTGCAAAATCATTTAGTTAAGTGGGTTGCAGGATTTTAATGGTGAAAAACGTTCAGAGTAAATGCTCTGTTTTGTTATAAAGGTAGTTAATAAAGAAGCCTTGTTAAAAGGATTTTTTAAACGAGAAGCTGTTATTATGTGGGTCCTGAAAATTAAACTGTCTTGTATAGCTTAAAAAATTTTTTTTCAAAAACACTTTTTAAGTTTCTTGTTATGTTAAATTCTATAAGCGCCTCTGAGAACAAGGTACTAGAAAACAAAAGTAGAAGCATCTTATCAATCATTTTTTTCCTGCATTTAAACTTACGTTACTATAGGACTTAATTTTTCTACCTTAAGTTTTTCTTCTGGTAACCAACAGTTAGGAAACTTTTAACTTAAAAAATCTGTTATTCACAATAGGAAGTTTTTCGGTCTGTTTAACCTTTTTAAGTCTGAAGGATTGGTTTGGTAAAGTAGTAGATGCCTTACATTTATATATGTAGCATTTACAAATTATTTTACACTTTATTCTTAATTATGAACAACTTTACACTTGCTCATAAGTGAAATACAGTCCAGAGGTGTGTAACTCTTAATCCTTGATATCCCTTGCTTTTTCACACCTACTAAAGTTTCACACCTACTGTTGTGTGACAATCCACAGCTCAGTGTACTTTTACAAACATGTCTCATTGGGTTATCCCAGCAATTCTGTGCAAGACCAGTATTATTCCCATTTTATAAATGAGAAAGTTGAGGCTTCAACAGCTTAGTTTTAGGCCTGTGATTATTTATCTGGATGGTGTTGCAACTGACACTGGTACCCAGGTCAAATGATTTCAGTATTTTTGCTATTAACCTACTTTATGAAAATTTGAAGCAGTATTATAGTTGGGTCATTGGGGTCAGGGCAATTTTTAATCTTTTTGAGTTGTTTTCCTTATCTGTAAAATGGGGATAATACCTTCTGTCTCCAGGATTGTGGGGATTACGTGACATAATGTAATTAAGGTGCCTAAAAATAGGCGGTTAAAGAATGTTAGCTTACATCCTCTTTGATATTTGAAAATCCAGATTAAAATATTTTTTTAAATGAAGGATTCACATAAATAGTAAACTTTCCTAGTGTACTTAAAGTTTGATTTCATGTATAATCAGTGTTCAGATATGATTTATGTAAAGTGAAGCTGTAACATTTTTCAGTGTAAGTGTGGAAGTGGAAATAGGGTAGTCATACTCTTTAAGACATTGAAATCTATAGTTAGAAGTTTTTACCAAGCAAAGAAACTGAATTAACCAGTAGAATGGTGTAGATGTGCACATCTCATAGGAGACAGTAAACTAATACAAAGAACAGTGAAACTGGTTTTGAGATTGAAGTCCACTTCAGATGAGCTGAAGACCTTCCCAAGTATCACTCAGATTCTTTGTTGGTGTATTTTTAGTAACTGGGTCCCACTGGAAATATGGAGGTCAGTAACAGTGCCATTGATTTGAAGTGCCTTGCTTACCATTAGGGAAAAAAAATTTTTTTTTCTCTTGAGGTATGTGGTCTTGTAGGATAACTAGAACAAGAACATTGGCATGATCACTATCTTAACTTTTTTGTCAGGGGAAAGCACTACTCAGCTTTTAAGGCTTGTAGATCTTCTCAAAGTTAGTATCATTCCATCTAAACCCAAAATCGCTTTTTGTAATTGAAAGTTGAAATTCACCTGAATATGTGAAGAAAAATGTTTGTTTACAAAGGGATATCACATTTTAGTCATTTTAGGACTATTTTCTGGAAGTCATTTCATTTCTTCTGGAAGACTTATTTTTTAATTTCTTAAAACTTTTTCAGGATATGCTTCTTAGAGCAATTGATAAATATTGTTTCCCTTCACATGAAGGAAAAACTTTTCTGTTTCTCTAATTTAGCATCTTCAGCATTCCTGTTCAGGGTCAAATTTCTTTTCCTCCCAATATTATTACCTCCATTGATTCTTAATTGAATTTTGGATTATTTTCAGAAGTGTCCAATTGAATAAAGTGATAATCCTGTAAAATGTATTTAGTAAAACAGTGGGATCATTTGAGAGAGCACCACCTTTAAATAGTGTACTTGACCTGTCTTTCTGCCTCATTGATGACTCTCAGCTGCTTTGGGCTAGTTGTTTAACCGCTTTGAACGTCAGTTTAATCATTTTTGTAGGAATAGCAGTTTCCGTTGGTAAAATCACAAAGATGAATTAGTCCTCAATGAGTTACTGTCCCTCTTTGGATGACAAAGACAGGTTTATCAACAAAAATAATACATCTGGGAAATAGATTTTTGTGCTTTATTTTTTAAAATTTAACTTAATAAATTGTAAAAAGCTGGGGGATAGAGACTAGCTGACTTTTATTTTTATGTGTTTAGCACTCTGGTTCTCAGCCCTGGCTGTACACTTGGAGAACTTTAACAAATATCAATGCCTGGGTCCCACCCTCAAGAGATCCTAAATTAATTGGTCTAAGGTAGGATCTAGGCATTTGTATTTTTAAAAGCTCTGG